TTTTGTAGGTTGGGTGATGTTTACAATTGTAATCTTTGTACAACCAACACTGTGTATCATCGCCACCGGAAATTGGGTACTAACGAAGCGGAGAGAAATGGAAAAAAAAGTAAACAAGGTAAGAATTCATTCAATTTAAAGCATTTCTACTGATTTGACGAGGGTATCGCTTAAGAAATGATTTTCTGATATATAATTCTTTAAATTATTAGGCCGATAAGTACAAAATTAAGACAAGATTTTGTGTTATACTCAAGAACTTGCCACTTAGTACCTGAAAATTTCGAGGTCGATCGTCCTCTGTCGCCCCATTGGCAAGATATTCAACTGTTTTTCATTATTTTTCCAGACACTTTTTTAGATTATTATAGTGTGGCATCATATTTACTGAAATTTGTTGTCAAAATGATGGTTTTTAAAGAATATAGACCATAAAAAATAAAGTCTAGGGTACGGCAACTTGCTCATGTTGACAAATTTACTGTATGGCAACTTGTTTTCAACTGTATGGCAACTTGCTAATTTCAAAATATTTATTTGTCGTCTTTTTAAAGAAAATAAAGTATTAGGTTCAAATATCTAATTATGCATTTGATAAAAATACAATTCGCTTGACACCATTTAAGATGTATACACAATATAAGGCTTGAACATAGTCCTATTACATCTTTTACATACCTGATGTATACAATATGGATACGGCACATACAAAAGCTGGCAAATGTTATTACTTTCGGAAAGGCATGTCACTGATTTACTGACCTGTTGTTATGCCCCTGACGTAGCGTTAAATGTTACACATGTCCGTCCGACCCGTCTCTCCCGTCCGTCCAGAAAGTCCCAATAATTGGTTTCTGTTCTCTAACTTTAGTATGCCTTAACCAAATTTTTTAAAACTTACACGAAATGCTTATCACCACAAAACACAGATCAAGTTATAAATTGGGTAGCGTCACTGTTACCGTTCTTGAGTTATGCCCTTTTATAAATGAAAAAAAGCTAAAGCTGTCGTTTCTGTTCTCAAACTTTAGATTGCCTCAACCAAATATTTAAACCATACAACATTAGTCAGCATTTGCATATAAGTGATGAACATTTCGGGGATGGGTTGTGGGTGGAGGGAAGGAAGGAGGTAAGGGCAGGAGAATTTTTCCGCATTGAATATTTAGAACCATTTAGTGAATGAATTCTCTTTCAACTTTCAGATAAAATGAAATATAAATGAATTATCATTCTCTGCAAAAAAAATGTTGTATTGCTACACCACGGCACCATGTTAAGGGAGGTTTGAGTGCTCACAAACATGTTTAACACCGCCTCAATATATATGTGTCTGTCCCTGGTCAGGAACATGTAATATAGCGGCTGTCGTAAGTTGCTGCCTGACATATTTGTTTATGATTTTGTCATAAATCAGGCAATTTTGATACGGTATGGGTTTTGTACATTGTGAAGCGTATAGTAACCAATAGTTGGTCAAATCTATTTCATTTGGACTTTGTTTGAAAGTCCTCTCAGTGAAAACCATTCCACGTCTCCTTTTTCAATTAATGTTATTGTCTTATTTGTAAAAGGCAGATACAGCCAATATATTAGAATAAAGAACATTAATTTTCTAAATAAAAAAAACTTCATCTCTATATAGTAAGAAATGAACAAGCTCGGTGGCTAACACTGTTTGAATTTAAAAAAAAATATTAACCTTAGATTAATCATTTTTGGAAAGAATGAAAGAAGAATCCGATACAAGGGATACAAATCCGGCTGTGGCTACGGCATAAACTATTTATATAAACTTTCTACTTGAGAATAAAGATGACCTTGTATGAAGTTTTTTTGGTTGTCATCTTAATATAATATACTTATTAATACAATTCACAAAAGCTAGCATCTTCGACTTGTAAGTTTAAAGAATTATAATGAAATAACATCTGATATGGACAGGTTGAAATATTTTTGAATCCTGATGGTGCATACTCATAAATTCTTTTGGAATAATCCACGTAAATTTAAATGTTGATTTGATAGCGTTTATTTATTTGTTTGCCCTCGTAAACAGTTTTGTTAAAATACCGAAATCGGTAAATTCTTATCGTGAACGAATAAGTCGGGTACACCTTTTTACATTCAGGCGTGCTTAAGTTGCACTTTTTTTAGCATCTATCTAAAGATTAGATTATTTACACACACACAAAAATAGGGCTTACTGTTGATTTTGAAACTATGAATTCACATTTATATTCAACCAAACAGATAGGCCGAGATCCATACCTTTATAAGTTTCAAAACAGAGAAGGTGTGTTTGGAAACAAATAATCACGTACTGCTATATCTTTTAAGGCAAATGCAAGTCTTACTTGTATTAATTATATAATTTTAATTGGCACAATATCACATTAAAATTTACTGAGAAATATTATACATAGTAATCATGAAAATGTACTACTGTAACAATGAAAATTCGGACAAATACACTCCTTTTCACTACCCCTCCATCTACTCATTTAAGTTTAGGCCAAACAGCCTTAGCAACAGTCTTTTATTATTTTTTCCCTGTAAATAAAAAGATTGATTGAATTTACTTAAACTAAAAAAAAAAATACAATCTTATTTTCAATAAGAAACAAGAAAATTAATTCGAAACACAATTCATGATTTATTTCTCCTAATTTTCAATGAAAACAAAGTATTTTCTTCACTTTTCTTTTAACAAATTATTCATTTCAGAAATTTAAAAAATAAACAATAAACAATGTTGAAGACCGTACCTTGACCTATAATGGTTTTACTTTTATAAATTGTGACTTGGATGGAGAGTTGTCTCATTGGCACTCATACCACATCTTCCTATATCTATTTAACCCAGCACATTCTTTATGTGTCTGTCCAAAGTCACGAGCCTGTAGTTTGGTGGTTGTCGTTGGTTCATCTCTATCATATTTATTATTTTTCGTAAATTGTTTTGTTATGAGTTATGCCGTTAGTTTTCTTGTTGAATCCTTCCACAATTTTCATGTCGGGGCTTTTTATAGCCGACTATAAGGTACGATTTTTCGTTGTTGAAGGACAAACGATAGTATATAATTGCTAACATACACTTTATTTGACCCTGGTGGATAGTTATCTTATTTGCAATCATACAACATCTCCACTATTTATATTAAAAAAAAAACAAACAAAAAAACAGCACCAACAAAAGATGAATGGTCGTTTTTTTTATTGAACTTACAAAATTTCACCCTGACAACAAATAAGACAACAGTCGTTAGTATTATAACGATATATGAATGTATTTAGGATAATATGGTTGAAAAACCTTTTTGTCTTTAAAAACACAAAGTCAAATAGAGGTACGCAACCACGACTTCTGAACGAAATTAACGGCATATATTTTGTAATATTTGATAAGTAGTTTATTTTGTATATTTGTAAGCCGGTAAAGCTTTGATACAGCCAAAATATCGTCACTTGATATTATCTAAACAGTGATTTATTTCATCTTTAAATTACAATATATTGCAAGACGCCGTACAGACAAAAGTTGTTATTTTGCAATTCGCCGTACAACGTCCTGCAATTCGCCGTACAATAAACAAACAATGTTTTGGACCATATTCTTTAAAAACATCTTTATGACAACAGATTTCAGTCTTTATGATGTCACACTATCATAATCTAAAAACGTGTCTGGAAAAATAATGAAAAACAGTTGAATATCTTGCCAATGGGGCGACAGAGGACAATCGACCTCGAAATTTTCAGGTACTAAGTGGCAAGCTTTGGAGTATAACACAAAATATTGTCTTAATTTTGTACTTATCAGCCTAATAATTTAAAGAATTATATATCAGAAAATCATTTCTTAAGCGGTACCCTCGTCAAATCAGTAGAAATGCTTTAAATTGAATGAATTCTTACCTTGTTTACTTTTTTTTTCCATTTCTCTCCGCTTCGTTAGTACCCAATTTCCGGTGGCGATGATACACAGTGACCAATAAACTACGAAAAACGTGTTTAACGGTCTTCAAAGGTCTTTAAGGTAGATTAACTTTAAACCGCCATCTTGGATTGTAAAATAGCAGCACACAATCGGTCTAGATCTTTGCTTAAATCTGCAAATATTTAGACAGATTGGCAATTAATGTGAGACTGTTCGTTTAAATAAAAGAAAAAAATAGCGATTTATTGCATTATTTAGACTATTCTAACAACTAAATATTTGCTTTTGTTCGATTAAATTTTTCAACTTGGCTATATAAGGGGAGATAGTAAAAAATGTACACTGGAATGACAGTGAAATATTTTAGCAAATAAAAAACAAGTTCGATGACACCATTTTTATTTTTATTTTCTTAAAGCATATTATAAAATCTATCTTCTCATATGTCTATTTCAAAATTATATCTCATAGATTTCTTTTTATTCACAAAAAAGTGTTTTTTCATTAATAATCTATGCAAAAATGGGCAATTTTGGACGATTTGTAGATTGAAAAATAGCACAGTGACCCATACTTTTGATTATATATTTTAAAAAAGCATGGCAAAATCTCCATTTTGGCAAAGTATAAGAAAATTTTATCTGATGAAATATATAGTGATGATCCACTTTATTAAAAAACCTTATCATTAAGTCGTTTTGATAAGCAATTTAAACAAATGATTGTAAATATTTATCACAGGAAATTCAAACAGCAAAAGACGTAAAACTGCACATTTTTGTCTAACCACTGTACTTTTATAATACGGTCACATTTTTACAATTTATATTTGCAACACACCAAAACACCATAATTAGCTATGGGATTAATCTGGACATTAAGATATTGTTTATTGAGCACAACGTGACTTCAAATGTGTTGACTTAAGGACCTATCCAGGCAATTATGACTTGATCGATTGCCCTTAATATTAGTACAATGTTGTAAATCTCGTAAAAGTTCATTGTTTCAAGTGGACAATTTTAAGAGTATTGTAAAGGTCAAAAAAATTATGGTTGAATAATTACGGACATGTACATAATTTAATTACAGTACTGGATAATAAAATTATATGCGACAACATCCTTCAACTACGCGTTGTTCTGGTCATCGAGCGAAGCTAATCAAATTCATTAATTGTAATAATTTGAATTAATTTACTGACATTTACAGGTCTCGTATATAAAATGGCGATCTGTCTATCAAGGATGGTTAGTTAATCCACAAAAATGTGTCGAGATATTTACCAATGTGGGATTCATTTTTAGGAAATTACTGCTTGATTTAATCTTATTTCTTTACACAATTCATCGTTTCCATATTAATTATGATGGAGTAACGGCGACTGTTTCGCTGTTTGTTGACATTGGTCTTCAGAAGACTTGGCTCTTCTTTACAGAATCTAATTACAGATCGGTAATCATTGAAAATCATAATTGATTTGTGGATAATATTCTTGGAAGTTCGACGTTAAAATTAATACACCCCAGAGTGTTGTGGCCGATATTCATTGAAGGTAGAGGAAATTAATTACTTTGAGGTATCTTTGTAATTTATCGAAAGCAAACAAATCATCAACCTGCTATTATACCTACGATAGTGTACTTATGTCCAATAACTAACGGGAGCAATGTATGATAAACCCTGTCAATAGTTTAGATGGAAAGTTAAAAATCAAAATGGGAAAAGAATTTGTTGAAAATACTAGTGTGTTTACTTTTCTGTCGGAATTTGACCAAGTCTGGCCTGGTAAGTCCTTTATAATAAAGTTTGACAAAATGAGTATAGAAATACTTTAACTTATATATAGCTTTGAGGGCAACAATCTGCTCTTTTACCCTTTCAGCTACAATGTATGCGGCATTTGATTTATAATCCAAAGGCCTGGTTTTCGAAAGTATCTTATGACTAAGACATGTCTTACGATGGTCTTGGGACATTTCATAGTCGTAAGATATGTTTTCGAAAGTGTCCCAAGTTACGATATGTCATAACTTTTATCGTAAACTTAAGACACCTTAAATTTTAATATCCTGCGACGTAAAATTCTGACTCCTTTTCTTACTCATGATTATGTATAATGAATATGACTTATTTTTTCCTTATATGGTAGTTTATTAACGTATTTGCACGGACATTTCGTTAAGCGGGTACTCGATGTACCAAATCTTAAAAGTATTCACAATTAAATAGCACTTCATGTATAATAATACATAAGCATGAAGTTCTAAAATTTTATTATATATATATACAAACTAAATTTGAACAAATTATCAACTCAGATTTTAATTCCTTTTTATATATAATTTCATGTTCAGTATAATGAAAACATAAAATATTTGAAAATAATAAGAATGGCAATAATCATTATTTTCATATACTTATTTTTATAGTTTTTTTTCATCATTAACTAAAATAAAATGAAATATGTTCACTTATGACAGTCATAAGAGTTACATAGGTATGCCTATCTTAGGATAGCTTTGATTTACACATGACATATCATATGATAATCATAAGATGGTCATAAAATTTGTCCTAAGATATATCTTATGACATATCTTAGGATACTTTCGAAAACCCGGATCCTGAATGCTGTTTTATTGTCTTTTAAATTCTTGATTTTTGTTTTGACAGTTTTTCTTTGTTAATACAAGGGGTAACAATGTTACCTGCTGAGCCAGCGTTAGAGTTTTAACTGTTTGAAAAGAGGCCTTTTTAAATTTCATATCAAATAGTGTATGAATTCGGTAGACACACTGCAATAATTGCTTATTGTTTTTGTACCACAATATAAAATGGTTTTCTTTATTATAAATTGCAATGCATTTTTAATTCTAGAATTGTTATATAAACGAAAAACTAGAGTTAACGATTTTTGTTCACACAAAACGTGTTTCTGGAGTAAACATCATCAAGTAAATCGAGACCAAAAGTTCGCATGGATGGACTGTTTAACGTCCAGTGGCAAATTAAATGCATATTCAGGCCAAGAACATGTTAGTGCGATATGAATATGAACCCTGCATTTTTAACGTGCTAGTTCACAAGGTAACAATACACAGGAAGACATGTAACCTTACCACCTTACCCAGTTTCACGGTTCATTGTACATTGTAATTCAGCAATATGCCTTCAATTCCTTTGGGTAACACATGGGCATTTTAAATAAATAACTACTGAGGTGAATTTAAAAAGGTAGACTATCAACTATACACTTATATAACGAACAAGAATGAGTTGACTTGCAACAAATATGATTGTGGTCTTTAATAAAGGTTGATGACCCCTTCTGACGTTCTGTAGGCCTGTGTAGTAAGAAAAGTAAGAAAAGTGCAATAATATCAAAAAAGCAAAAATGCTGAATATAAGAGATGTGCAATTTTCAACATATACCAAAGGGAAAAAATGAAAACAACACGTTAATAATTTCATGCATCCGAGGCGTTTTTAAGGACTTACCTTCACCAGGAACGCTCAAAGTCGAATATTTGATATCCAGGAATGTATAAGAACCGAAACAGTTGAGGAGCTTTATGACCAAAAGGACCTAAAAATAGCGAAATCAATCTAAGGACAACTTTGCCTGAGAGAGTCCTTATAGTTTCTTTATAATTTCAAAATTTATAAACGGACAATTTTAGAAAAGTTTGTTATAAATCATGTCAGTACCGAAGTACTGACTACTGAGCTGATGATACACTCCGGGACTGATAGTCCACCGGCAGAAATATCGACCCAGTGCTGAAAAAATATGAAAACAACACGTGGAAACGTCGTTCACATGAATTAAATTTATTGTTTCATTACATTTAATAAAAAATGTGGATTTTGTGGCTCCTCAAGCCAAGGTTCTTACAGAAAATCCCCAGACTTTATTACATATATTTTCGTTAAAACATTCGAAAAATAGATTACTCACTTGTTTATTCAAGTTGTGCTAGCCTTTTTTGTTTACAAAAAGCCATAAACAACCTTTACAATCCAAAAAACCTCGTGCTGAGTCACAAAAGTCGAGCGCACCCTAGAAGGTGTACTTTTACACGGTCCACATTTGTACTTGTTTTATCTTATATCTTTATTTAAAAACTTGTTTTAGGGAAATTATTGGAAGCACTGCATGCAGTTATCCACTAACTATTTTAAAGTACATAATTGTCAAATATAAGAGTACAACGGAAAAGCCTGTGGATTTAAAAAAAATCCATATTTTTAGCAGTGAAACAACAAAAGGGTACTTTATCTTAAAAGTTCTGAGCGTTTTGAATACAGGAAATAATGCATTTTGAGTTATTTATATCTTCATCTATTGATACTGTATTATCTTAATTACAACTTGATAAAGATATAATGGGTAATGACCAACAATCAAACAGAAATTATGGTGGAAAACTGTTCAAATTTCTTATCTGTAGGAGATGGCAGGAGATGGCCATTATAATATAAAGAGCATTTTTATCAATACAAATTAATAAAAATTAAGCTATCTCAAAGAAAGCACGATACAGCTTATGTTTTAGCTATTCAATTCAGAAAAATACTTAAACCTGATCCTGAAAAAAAACAAAAATGACCACAAGAATTACGCTTATAATTAACGTTTAATCGTCAATTTTAACATGCATGTATGAACTTGTGTGTGCGTGTTTCCAAATATTTTTGATAATCTTTTTATTTAATTTCGTTACTTTTAAATTACACTTTCCAATTGTACGCAGATAGTTGTCATTTAATTTCTTTTCGATCCACTTTCGTCATATCGTTATGATTTTGCCATTTAGTTAGAAAAACAATTGAACTGAATGCATTTACTATGATTATCATGCACCTAGTATGATCTACACAACCCTGTGCATCAGATCTACCAAGTAAATTATGTTTATTCTTGCATGTAATATTAGTGACCATCAGATGTATTTATTTTTGTTTTGAGGAGCATATTGGCAGACATGTTTTCATATTTCGTATTGTCCAGAGATTTAAAGTGTTCGTTATTCGTAAAAAGCCGTATACCTACCGAGCCCTTTGAATTTGTCCTGATATTTGCCAAGTTTTTTCCTAGTTTGTTCGGTACCCTTGAATTTACCCGGATACCTGCCCCGTTCCTTCAAATTTGTCTGGATACTTGCCTCGTTCCTTTCTTGTTTGTCCGGATACCTGTCCCTTTCCTTTAAATTTGTCCGGATAGCTGCCTCGTTCCTTTCATGTCCGGATAGCCGCCCTGTCTTTTCATTGTTTGTCAGCGTTAGAGTTTTAACTGTTTGAAAAGAGGCCTTTTTAAATTTCATATCAAATAGTGTATGAATTCGGTAGACACACTGCAATATTTGCATATTGTTTTTGTACCACAATATAAAATGGTTTTCTTTATTATAAATTACAATGCATTTTTAATTCTAGAATTGTTATATAAACGAAATACTAGAGTTAACGATTTTTGTTCACACAAAACGTGTTTCTGGAGTAAACCACATCAAGTAAATCGAGACCAAAAGTTCGCATGGATGGATGGATGACTGTTTAACGTCCAGTGGCAAATTAAATGCATATTCAGGCCAAGAACATGTTAGTGCGATATGAATATGAACCCTGCATTTTTAACGTGCTAGTTCACAAGGTAACAATACACAGGAAGACATGTAACCTTACCACCTTACCCGTTTCACGGTTCATTGTACATTGTAATTCAGCAATATGCCTTCTGCCTTCAATTCCTTTGGGTAACACATGGGCATTTTAGATAAATAACAACTGAGGTGAATTTAAAAAGGTAGACACTGTCAACTAGACACTTATATAACGAACAAGAATGTAGTTGACTTGAAACAAATATAAATGTGGTCTTTAATAAAGGTTGATGACCCCTTCTGTAGGCCTGTGTAGTACGAAAAGTGCAATTTAATGTAAAAAAAAAAGCAAAAATATTGAATATAAGAGATGTGCAATTTTGAACATATACCAAGGGGAAAAAATTAAAACAACACGTTAATAATTTCATGCGTCCGAAGCGCTTTTCTGGATTTACCTTCACCAGGAACGCTCAAAGCCAAGTATTTGATATCCAAGAATGTATAAGAACCGAAACAGTTGAGGAGCATTATGACCAAAAGGACCTAAAAATAGCCAAATCAATCTAAGGACAACTTTGCCTGAGAGAGTCCTTAGTTTCTTTATAATTTCAAAATTTATAAACGGACAATTTTAGAAAAGTTTGTTATAAATCATGTCAGTACCGAAGTACTGACTACTGAGCTGATGATACACTCCGGGACTGATAGTCCACCGGCAGAAGTATCGACCCAGTGCTGAAAAATGAAAACAACACGTGGAAACGTCGTTCACAGGAATTCAATTTATTGTTTCATTGCATTTAATAAAAAATGTGGATTTTGTGGCTCCTCAAGCCAAGATTCTTACAGAAAATCCCCAGACTTTATTACATATACTTTTTGTTTATAACATTCGAAAAATAGATTACTCACTTGTTTGTTCGTGTTGTGCTAGCCTTTGTTGTTTACAAAAAGCCATAAACAACATTTACAATCCAAAAATCCTCGTGCTGAGTCACAAAAGTCGAGCGCACCCTAGAAGGTGTACTTGTAAAGGTCCACATTTGTACTTATTTTAGCTTATATCTTTATTTAAAAACTTTTTTTAGGGAAATTATTGGAAACACTGCATGTAGTTATCCACTAACTATTTTAAAGTACATAATTGTCAAATATAAGAGTACAACGGAAAAACCTGTGGATTTAAAAAAAAAATCATATTTTTAGCAGTGAAACAACAAAAGGGTACTTTATCTTTAAAGTTCTGAGCGTTTTGAATACAGGAAATAATGCATTTTGAGTTATTTATACTTTTATATCTTCATCTATTGATACTGTATTATCTTAATTACAACTTGATAAAGATATAATAGGTAATGACCAACAATCAAACAGAAATTATGATGGAAAACTGTTCAAATTTCTTATCTGTAGGAGATGGCAGGAGATGGCCATTATAATATAAAGAGCGTTTTTATCAATACAAATTAACATAAAATTAAGCTATCTCAAAGAAAGCACGATACTGCTTATGCTTTAGCTATTCAATTCAGAAAAATACCAAAACCTGACCCTGAAAACAACAAAAAGGATCACAAGAATTACGCTTATCATTAACGTTTAATCGTGAATTTTAGCATGTATGAACTTGAGTGCGTGTTTCCAAATATTTTTGATAATCTTTTTATTTAATTTCGTTACTTTCAAATTACACGTTCCAATTGTACGCAGATAGTTGTCATTTAATTTCTTTTCGATCCACTTTCGTCATATCGTTATGATTTTGCCATTTAGTTAGAAAAACAATTGAACTGAATGCATTTACATTAACATGTATATATCTTGTATGATCTACACAACCCTGTGCATCATTGATCTACCAGATATCTTATGTTTATTCTGGCATGTAATATCAGTGACCATCAGATGTATTTATTTTTGTTTTGAGGAGCATATTGGCAGACATGTTTTCATATTTCGTATTGTCCAGAGATTTAAAGTGTTCGTTATTCGTAAAAAGCCGTATACCTACCGAGTCCTTTGAATTTGTCCTGATATTTGCCAAGTTTTTTCCTAGTTTGTTCGGTACCCTTGAATTTACCCGGATACCTGCCCAGTTCCTTCAAATTTGTCTGGATACTTGCCTTGTTCCTTTCTTGTTTGTCCGAATACCTGCCCCTTTCCTTTAAATTTGTCCGAATAGCTGCCTCGTTCCTTTCATGTGCGGATAGCCGCCCTGTCTTTTCATTGTTTGTCCGGGTACCTGTCAGAATACGTACCCGTTCCATTGATTTGACTGGATACCTGCCCTGTTCCTTCAAATTTGTCCTGATACCTGTCCCCTTCCTAGAAAATTGTCAGGATACCTGTCTGTTCCTTCCTTGTTTTCAGGATACATGCCTCTTTCTTTTGAATGTGTCTTGTTTGTTATTTGTCTTCTGAATTCCGATGATTGACTTTCCCTTTTAATTATTTGGTTATAGGAGTAAATTCGGTCAGTGACGTAGCGGGCGTGCGACCACCACCTTTAAACAAGAAAAGCATACGATGTATGCATATTTTTTTTTACATTATTCAAAGTTCATGGTCACGAAGCCAGTTACCAAAATATTTCTTTTTGTCGTTTACAATTATTGTCTATCACGAATAAAATATACAGAAACCAGTTCCCTCATTGTAAACATTTCGGCACATCATTAGCTCAGCATTTAACAACATCAAACGAATATATATTATCTTCGTCTGAGTTATTGCTTTTATCTGCTACTGTACTATTAACATTGTATTGGTTAACATTTTTCTGTTTAATTTGTTTACAATTTTGAACTTTTCAACAGTACTTTTGATGATACATGATTGATTAACATAATTGCGACTAATGATACCTGATACTTAAGAACCCTTTAACTTTACGTATAATTTTACACCTTTACACTGTAACATTTTTCATATTCGGATTGTGTTATATCTTACAAAGTCTATCCAAATTAGTTTTGCAAAAAATTCCACTCAAGCCGGTGCTAGGGGCCGTCTTAAACTTGCAGTGAGGTCAGTTTTTTTGCTCCGTGTTAAAGGCCTCACTGTGACTTTGAGATGAAGAACAGCAATAAAAGCGCTGTTCCTTTGCTTTCTGTGTGCTTTCTACTGTGCATGTACTGATTTTGTGTCATGGATGGATACCCCCATATCCTTTGTTTTTCTATTATATCGATATTAATACCTAAAATGACAGACTTTAAAACTGTCTTCCAAGAAACAAGGCTTATGGGTAGTCGATACGCGCGTTTCGTCTACGTAAGACTCATCGGGAGTGCTCGCAACTAAACAGTTGGATGTCCAAATGAGCCATTTAATTCAAAATATTCCCAAAAGTTGGGCCAAATGCGACTTTGGCCATCTATGCACGGGAGTATATAAAAACCCATGCGTTTCGAATAATCCAACATTTTAAAGACAGTAAATTCACAGAAAATGAACGTATCAAACACCAGTGTGTCTAGACTACTAGAAAAAAGATCACCCAGACCCAGTGGTTGTAAAATCTCAAGAAGGGTACCAGTCTTATTCATTTGGTACAACAAACGAATATGTCGTCTCCACAAGACTTGTGCATCAGTGGCGCTTGCATTAAATACAGAGTGTCTATATGGCATTTTGTTTTCTTTGTTGAAATAGTTATTTTTGTTATAGTGATGAAGATTACAACACAACGTTGACTGCTGTACCCCAATTTTTGATATTTTTGCCTATTATAATATATGTCTGTTTGTTTTGCTCACACATTGTTGTCAATATAATGGAATTCTATGCGACTGTCATACAAGTGAGAGGTTTAGCTAGTTATAAAACCAGGTTTAATCCACCATTTTCTACATAAGTAAATGCCTGTACAAAGTCAGGAATATGACAGTTGTTTTCCATTCGTTTGGTGTGTTTGAGCTTTTGATTTTGCCATTTGATAAAGGACTTTCCGTTTTGAATTTTCCTTGGAGTTCGGTATTTTTTGTTATTTTACTTTTTTCTCTCTCTCTCTTTTACAGGACAAATAGTAATAGAAGTTATTATACTTGTTATAATAATGATAACAGCATTCACAGGGAATATTATGGTAAGTATATATATATATATATATATACTGAATAAAATAACGGCAACATGAAATTTTCTTCTTTAACAAGTTCGATAATGCCGTAATGTCTTATTTTTACGACGGACTTTGTAACAATTGCAAAATTAATGTAAAAACTTATGAATATCGCATTTTTTCAACTCCCCGTGTTATTGTCCTCCTTTTGTTGTTTGTTATCTCTTGGTTCAGAGTTCTCTTTATACAAGCAGAAATGAGCATCGATTGCAGCCAAAAAAGTACGTTCTACTTTTTCAGCACTCTTGGTTGACTAGTAGGGTAAACCGCCCTTATAGTGTTGAATGACATGATTTATTAGGTATGAATAAAAGGAGACGGCGCCTTACCACAAACATATATAAACGACATCTAGAGGGCAGCAAACAGTCTTTAACAATATACAGATCTATATACATATAATATGTCGACAAGCTATAAATCATACATTTTTATAAATTGTATAAATTTACCAAAACTATAATAGGATCATTACCAGGCAAAACTAACGTAAATTTCCTTTCCCTTTCCTATGACCATTTTTGTTAAGCAACCACGCAACCCAATATGCATTTATACATCTTTGGTCGGTTAAATTGTTTGACTCGCATTGTTCTGGATGAAGGACCACCAGTAAAATGCATATCAAAAGTAGCCTTCACTTACAATTAGCACCAAAGCCATGCTCATAAAATGTTTTGTTATTCATGTACTCGATCGTTATTTCGTAATTTATATTTTCCAGGTAATTGTTGCAGTATACAGGCGTAAAAAAATGCGGAATGTCACGAACTTTTTCATTTCAAACTTGGCTATTGCTGACCTTCTGTTTGCATCTTGGATACCATTCATTGCCGCGACAAGAATTACACGTGACTGGATTTTTGGTAACGAGATTTGTAAGCTGGTAACCTTCATGCAGTTCTTGTCAGGAATTAGTTCCATCTTGACTATGATGGTGATCAGTATCGAGAGGTACACATGCGTAATGTATTCTCCTAATCGAAAGATGACCGGCAAGGTATCTCTGATTTGTATAGTACTTGTATGGATATTGTCCGCGTGTTTTCCAATACCAGTTGCTTTTGCTCAGTCAAAAATGTCAAAAACTATAAAAGGCGCCACTTACACTTTTTGTGGAATAGAATGGCCACATAATTTCCACACCGATGCATATTTGGCCTCTATGGGAGTTTTATTTTTCCTAATTCCTTTACTTGTTATAACTCTGAATTATTATAGAATTTATAGATTAGTTAAAATGTCATCAAGTGCTGCTTGTCAACATAGAAGTGAATCGTCATCTAGAAAACAAATAAGATTAGTGAAAATGTTTGCCGCCATTGTATGCGTATTCGTAATAATGTGGTTACCGTTCTTTGTTTTAAGTTTTCTTGCAGTAAATTATAACCAAATAACATCGAGTCAGTTTACGGTCACAATTATTATAGCTTTATTGAACACATGTCAAAATCCAATTATATACGGATATTTTAATTTAAAATTTAGAAAGGAATTCAAAGATATGTGTAAATGTTGCACTCAAGAAGTATGTACTAATGGCAGAAAGCTGACATATACTGTTCAAACTGGTATTACTATGTCAAACCAAGGAGCAAGCCAAACATAAATAACGCATATACTGTTCTAAATGGTAAAGACCAAACTATGTCAAAAACAAGGAACAAGCCAAAAATAAATGACAGATACGGTTCAAACTGGTATTGTTAGAACTTCTAGTATGTGAAAACCAAGGAACAAGCCAAACATAATTGACATTTAATGTTCAAATTGGTATTGAAAGAAATATGTCAAACCAAGGAACAAGCCAAACATAGTTGACATTATTGTTAAAACGTGTATTGATGGAACCGTATGTCAAACCAAGGAACAACTTAAAGCCAAACAAATGACAAATATATTTAAAACTGGTATTGGTATGATTATATTTTGTCAAACCAAAGAACAAGCCAAACATATATATATGACATATATTGTTAAAACTGGTAATGATATGACTATTTCAAACCAAGGAACAAACCAAACATAAATGCTTTAAAATCCCACGAATAGTACAATAGATCTGACAAACAGGCATTTACCGAATCTTTGATCGTCAAAAAACAGCTAAGAATACCAGACTTTACACTTACCAAAATCGTTAGTATTTAGAAGAATATATACTATCAAAACACGTTTATATAAACATCATAAAATAAAGCTATGAACGTAACCTATCTTCTAAAATATCGTAGACATAAAGTAATTATTTTCAACGGATTGGTATTTTTCTTATTTTGCTGTACGTTGGACAAATTGACTTTGGCTGTCATAACACACAAAATATTTTTATATACGAAATCAAATTTTTGGTTGAGGTATCATAAATAAAGAGGATATAAAGGTATTTATGAGGAGGCTTACATACGGAGGGTATAAATAAATATATACAGAGGTATTTGTGAGGTTGTATTGGTATCCTCGATATAGAAGTGTTTACTCCATTTATTCTTTTTCGATGGAAAAGGGGGTGGGGTATTTTAATAGCTTTTTGAGATTTTATTGTCATTGTAATTAGGTGTAATGATTAAGATTTGACGACAGATCGCATTCGTTTCATTGAATAGCTTTTGTATATGCCATTTTGGTAATAGTTTAAGTTTGTTGATTTTAGTCTTTGTGATGTATATCAGCCTTTGCTATATCAGTGAGGTGTGTTTGATATGTTGTTACTCTCTGTTATGACTTGCATTTTTATTTTGCCGCACGGAAATTAAGGGGGACTTGTGGCGTATACCAAGTGTCCAAAGACTGTTTACTCAAAAACTAATAAACATCCATATAAGTCAGCATAATAATATAACCTGCATAGAATGACCAGTTGTCGTAAGATTTCACAATTCATGGCTTGAAGTTTTGTTTTAACCATATCAAGTGAATCACCGCCATAAAACTTGCTAACAAAATGAATCAAGGTAGTATAGTGTCATTCATTATAAGAACTATTACACCTAGTTCTCGATTAAATTATTCGCTCATATATATGGAGTTTTATTTTCAACTTTTGATTCGCTGATCGAGAGACTATAATTACTTAAGGACATACGATTATAACTAGGTGCAAAGGCAGCGTTCCCAAAAAATAGTTCAGTCGTTATTCGTCCGAGTTTACATCTCAGAGACTTGGTGAGTGCCCATCAGTTTATTAATTGTTCATTAAAGTAGGTCGCTCTGATCTATATTTTACACACCATTAACCTATATAAGTTTGACGCCTGAGTTCATTTTCAGCTACTCAGTGACCTACAATCATAAATCTCTGTGTAAGGGAGCATTTACATGTACATTACAGTTGAGGTGGCGTTCCTAATTTTTAGTCGTTTCTCCCCGTCCTCGGTGGACAGCTCATCCATGTCCACTCAAAGTGTTTCCTTTGATTTTGTTTAAAAAGAGACTACACGTGTTTATATCCTTTTTATAATGAATTTTATACTCTATGCTACTTGAGCAATTGCAGGATGACGAATGACAGGATAGCTTGACGCTAGTGCAAATCGTTCGACTTACTAGAAATCGTAAAGTATAGTGTTGTTCAAGTATTATTTCACGAAATACACACATTGAAAATATCATTATGATATAGGTGTGAAGATGCGTGGTGTATGCATCAGCTACATTTATAAAGTGCAGCCTATAATTGATCTAAAAAAGAGGGTGTGGATGGAGGTTTACAGAAAAGAGAATAATGAGGTGCTAAAATATAAAGAATAGAGAATAATGCCATAAAAATTAAAGAATACAGAATGAAGGACCCCCCCCCCCCCCCCCAATCCCCATCTAGACCCTCATCAAATGGTCAGCAGAAATCAGAATCGCAGGAAAATGTTTGAGGGACAACGTCACAAATATGCATAGGAAAACAAACGTAATAAAATACATAAGAAGAAAAGATAGCAAGATTTTCATTTAATTTCTTGACTTTTTAATCTTACGGTTTGTATTTGAAAAACGCATGTTCAAGGGGAAATAACCAAATTAATACTATTTTTAAGTTAAGTGTTGGCTTTTCAGTAATGCTCGAGGACCGAATATTTGATAATTTAAAACCTAATACAAAAGTTGAAGCATGAAACATTTGGGAACCAGTAGGTACACAAAATAACCACGAATATTAAGTCAAAATGAAGTGTTGTGTGTGCATCAGCTACATTTGAAAAGTGCAACCTTTAATCGATCTATAAAATGGTCAACAAAATCCAGAATTGCAGCGAAATGTTTGAGGGCCAACATGACAATAATGCATAGAAAAAGAAATGAAAAGCATGACAGAACTAGTAATTTTTATGGTTGTATTATATAAATGTAGTTATAAGACACGCCAATAAAATTGCAAAAAGAAGCATTCAATTCTTATGAAAAGAAATAGAATTGAGTGTTGGTTGCTTAACGTCCAGTGGCAAATATTTCATGCATGTTCAGGACGATAAAAAGAAATATGAAAGTAATGCTTCATAAATAAGTTGCGTGGGAAGCGCTTTTATGGAGTTACGCTGCGATGAATCCCTGGAAAATAATCATGCCAAAGCCAAGGATGATCTAAAGACGAATATGATGATATTGGTAAAAAGTTAAATATTTCGAAGATGATTTTTATAAGCAAAAACGATCTGTTATTAATTAAATTGATTTTTTTTATTGTACCACTCAGAATGCGTTTTCTTCCTCCAACTCCCCACTTAGGAGGGAGAGGAACGAATGACCGAAGACCATGTCTCACCATGCTAGAGACAGTCTCAGACGGTCAGCTTCACGCTCAGAAGAAAACGCTATTTCTCTTCATCGTGGGTTTAGGTCCAGTCAGATTTATCTGACGTCCCGGCGATACATACTATAGAAATGATCCCTAAAAGTATGATCTTACCCGCGCTGGATCGTTACATGACTTTTACGAATGTGATATGTTCAGTGGAATAAGGTAAATAGTATTTTTTCATATTGCACGATTACGTGTAAAAGCTCACACAATTCCAAGTTGGAATTATAATTTTCAAATGTAATAAAATACATAAGAAGAAAAGATAGCAAGATTTTCATTTAATTCTTGACTTTTTAATCTTACGGTTTGTATTTGAAAAACGCATGTTCAAGGGGAAATAACCAAATTAATACTATTTTTAAGTTAAGTGTTGGCTTTTCAGTAATGCTTGAGGACCGAATATTTGATAATTTAAAACCTAATACAAAAGTTGAAGCATGAAACATTTGGGAACCAGTAGGTACACAAAATAACCACGAATATTAAGTCAAAATGAAGTGTTGTGTGTGCATCAGCTACATTTGAAAAGTGCAACCTTTAATCGATCTATAAAATGGTCAACAAAATCCAGAATTGCAGCGAAATGTTTGAGGGCCAACATGACAATAATGCATAGAAAAAGAAATGAAAAGCATGACAGAACTAGTAATTTTTATGGTTGTATTATATAAATGTAGTTATAAGACACGCCAATAAAATTGCAAAAAGAAGCATTCAATTCTTATGAAAAGAAATAGAATTGAGTGTTGGTTGCTTAACGTCCAGTGGCAAATATTTCATGCATGTTCAGGACGATAAAAAGAAATATGAAAGTAATGCTTCATAAATAAGTTGCGTGGGAAGCGCTTTTATGGAGTTACGCTGCGATGAATCCCTGGAAAATAATCATGCCAAAGCCAAGGATGATCTAAAGACGAATATGATGATATTGGTAAAAAGTTAAATATTTCGAAGATGATTTTTATAAGCAAAAACGATCTGTTATTAATTAAATTGATTTTTTTTATTGTACCACTCAGAATGCGTTTTCTTCCTCCAACTCCCCACTTAGGAGGGAGAGGAACGGTCATCAATGACCGAAGACCATGTCTCACCATGCTAGAGACAGTCTCAGACGGTCAGCTTCACGCTCAGAAGAAAACGCTATTTCTCTTCATCGTGGGTTTAGGTCCAGTCAGATTTATCTGACGTCCCGGCGATACATACTATAGAAATGATCCCTAAAAGTATGATCTTACCCGCGCTGGATCGTTACATGACTTTTACGAATGTGATATGTTCAGTGAAATAAGGTAAATAGTATTTTTTCATATTGCACGATTACGTGTAAAAGCTCACACAATTCCAAGTTGGAATTATAATTTTCAAATGTAATAAAATACATAAGAAGAAAAGATAGCAAGATTTTCATTTAATTCTTGACTTTTTAATCTTACGGTTTGTATTTGAAAAACGCATGTTCAAGGGGAAATAACCAAATTAATACTATTTTTAAGTTAAGTGTTGGCTTTTCAGTAATGCTTGAGGACCGAATATTTGATAATTTAAAACCTAATACAAAAGTTGAAGCATGAAACATTTGGGAACCAGTAGGTACACAAAATAACCACGAATATTAAGTCAAAATGAAGTGTTGTGTGTGCATCAGCTACATTTGAAAAGTGCAACCTTTAATCGATCTATAAAATGGTCAACAAAATCCAGAATTGCAGCGAAATGTTTGAGGGCCAACATGACAATAATGCATAGAAAAAGAAATGAAAAGCATGACAGAACTAGTAATTTTTATGGTTGTATTATATAAATGTAGTTATAAGACACGCCAATAAAATTGCAAAAAGAAGCATTCAATTCTTATGAAAAGAAATAGAATTGAGTGTTGGTTGCTTAACGTCCAGTGGCAAATATTTCATGCATGTTCAGGACGATAAAAAGAAATATGAAAGTAATGCTTCATAAATAAGTTGCGTGGGAAGCGCTTTTATGGAGTTACGCTGCGATGAATCCCTGGAAAATAATCATGCCAAAGCCAAGGATGATCTAAAGACGAATATGATGATATTGGTAAAAAGTTAAATATTTCGAAGATGATTTTTATAAGCAAAAACGATCTGTTATTAATTAAATTGATTTTTTTTATTGTACCACTCAGAATGCGTTTTCTTCCTCCAACTCCCCACTTAGGAGGGAGAGGAACGAATGACCGAAGACCATGTCTCACCATGCTAGAGACAGTCTCAGACGGTCAGCTTCACGCTCAGAAGAAAACGCTATTTCTCTTCATCGTGGGTTTAGGTCCAGTCAGATTTATCTGACGTCCCGGCGATACATACTATAGAAATGATCCCTAAAAGTATGATCTTACCCGCGCTGGATCGTTACATGACTTTTACGAATGTGATATGTTCAGTGAAATAAGGTAAATAGTATTTTTTCATATTGCACGATTACGTGTAAAAGCTCACACAATTCCAAGTTGGAATTATAATTTTCAAATGTAATAAAATACATAAGAAGAAAAGATAGCAAGATTTTCATTTAATTCTTGACTTTTTAATCTTACGGTTTGTATTTGAAAAACGCATGTTCAAGGGGAAATAACCAAATTAATACTATTTTTAAGTTAAGTGTTGGCTTTTCAGTAATGCTTGAGGACCGAATATTTGATAATTTAAAACCTAATACAAAAGTTGAAGCATGAAACATTTGGGAACCAGTAGGTACACAAAATAACCACGAATATTAAGTCAAAATGAAGTGTTGTGTGTGCATCAGCTACATTTGAAAAGTGCAACCTTTAATCGATCTATAAAATGGTCAACAAAATCCAGAATTGCAGCGAAATGTTTGAGGGCCAACATGACAATAATGCATAGAAAAAGAAATGAAAAGCATGACAGAACTAGTAATTTTTATGGTTGTATTATATAAATGTAGTTATAAGACACGCCAATAAAATTGCAAAAAGAAGCATTCAATTCTTATGAAAAGAAATAGAATTGAGTGTTGGTTGCTTAACGTCCAGTGGCAAATATTTCATGCATGTTCAGGACGATAAAAAGAAATATGAAAGTAATGCTTCATAAATAAGTTGCGTGGGAAGCGCTTTTATGGAGTTACGCTGCGATGAATCCCTGGAAAATAATCATGCCAAAGCCAAGGATGATCTAAAGACGAATATGATGATATTGGTAAAAAGTTAAATATTTCGAAGATGATTTTTATAAGCAAAAACGATCTGTTATTAATTAAATTGATTTTTTTTATTGTACCACTCAGAATGCGTTTTCTTCCTCCAACTCCCCACTTAGGAGGGAGAGGAACGGTCATCAATGACCGAAGACCATGTCTCACCATGCTAGAGACAGTCTCAGACGGTCAGCTTCACGCTCAGAAGAAAACGCTATTTCTCTTCATCGTGGGTTTAGGTCCAGTCAGATTTATCTGACGTCCCGGCGATACATACTATAGAAATGATCCCTAAAAGTATGATCTTACCCGCGCTGGATCGTTACATGACTTTTACGAATGTGATATGTTCAGTGAAATAAGGTAAATAGTATTTTTTCATATTGCACGATTACGTGTAAAAGCTCACACAATTCCAAGTTGGAATTATAATTTTCAAATGTAATAAAATACATAAGAAGAAAAGATAGCAAGATTTTCATTTAATTCTTGACTTTTTAATCTTACGGTTTGTATTTGAAAAACGCATGTTCAAGGGGAAATAACCAAATTAATACTATTTTTAAGTTAAGTGTTGGCTTTTCAGTAATGCTTGAGGACCGAATATTTGATAATTTAAAACCTAATACAAAAGTTGAAGCATGAAACATTTGGGAACCAGTAGGTACACAAAATAACCACGAATATTAAGTCAAAATGAAGTGTTGTGTGTGCATCAGCTACATTTGAAAAGTGCAACCTTTAATCGATCTATAAAATGGTCAACAAAATCCAGAATTGCAGCGAAATGTTTGAGGGCCAACATGACAATAATGCATAGAAAAAGAAATGAAAAGCATGACAGAACTAGTAATTTTTATGGTTGTATTATATAAATGTAGTTATAAGACACGCCAATAAAATTGCAAAAAGAAGCATTCAATTCTTATGAAAAGAAATAGAATTGAGTGTTGGTTGCTTAACGTCCAGTGGCAAATATTTCATGCATGTTCAGGACGATAAAAAGAAATATGAAAGTAATGCTTCATAAATAAGTTGCGTGGGAAGCGCTTTTATGGAGTTACGCTGCGATGAATCCCTGGAAAATAATCATGCCAAAGCCAAGGATGATCTAAAGACGAATATGATGATATTGGTAAAAAGTTAAATATTTCGAAGATGATTTTTATAAGCAAAAACGATCTGTTATTAATTAAATTGATTTTTTTTATTGTACCACTCAGAATGCGTTTTCTTCCTCCAACTCCCCACTTAGGAGGGAGAGGAACGGTCATCAATGACCGAAGACCATGTCTCACCATGCTAGAGACAGTCTCAGACGGTCAGCTTCACGCTCAGAAGAAAACGCTATTTCTCTTCATCGTGGGTTTAGGTCCAGTCAGATTTATCTGACGTCCCGGCGATACATACTATAGAAATGATCCCTAAAAGTATGATCTTACCCGCGCTGGATCGTTACATGACTTTTACGAATGTGATATGTTCAGTGAAATAAGGTAAATAGTATTTTTTCATATTGCACGATTACGTGTAAAAGCTCACACAATTCCAAGTTGGAATTATAATTTTCAAATGTAATAAAATACATAAGAAGAAAAGATAGCAAGATTTTCATTTAATTCTTGACTTTTTAATCTTACGGTTTGTATTTGAAAAACGCATGTTCAAGGGGAAATAACCAAATTAATACTATTTTTAAGTTAAGTGTTGGCTTTTCAGTAATGCTTGAGGACCGAATATTTGATAATTTAAAACCTAATACAAAAGTTGAAGCATGAAACATTTGGGAACCAGTAGGTACACAAAATAACCACGAATATTAAGTCAAAATGAAGTGTTGTGTGTGCATCAGCTACATTTGAAAAGTGCAACCTTTAATCGATCTATAAAATGGTCAACAAAATCCAGAATTGCAGCGAAATGTTTGAGGGCCAACATGACAATAATGCATAGAAAAAGAAATGAAAAGCATGACAGAACTAGTAATTTTTATGGTTGTATTATATAAATGTAGTTATAAGACACGCCAATAAAATTGCAAAAAGAAGCATTCAATTCTTATGAAAAGAAATAGAATTGAGTGTTGGTTGCTTAACGTCCAGTGGCAAATATTTCATGCATGTTCAGGACGATAAAAAGAAATATGAAAGTAATGCTTCATAAATAAGTTGCGTGGGAAGCGCTTTTATGGAGTTACGCTGCGATGAATCCCTGGAAAATAATCATGCCAAAGCCAAGGATGATCTAAAGACGAATATGATGATATTGGTAAAAAGTTAAATATTTCGAAGATGATTTTTATAAGCAAAAACGATCTGTTATTAATTAAATTGATTTTTTTTATTGTACCACTCAGAATGCGTTTTCTTCCTCCAACTCCCCACTTAGGAGGGAGAGGAACGGTCATCAATGACCGAAGACCATGTCTCACCATGCTAGAGACAGTCTCAGACGGTCAGCTTCACGCTCAGAAGAAAACGCTATTTCTCTTCATCGTGGGTTTAGGTCCAGTCAGATTTATCTGACGTCCCGGCGATACATACTATAGAAATGATCCCTAAAAGTATGATCTTACCCGCGCTGGATCGTTACATGACTTTTACGAATGTGATATGTTCAGTGAAATAAGGTAAATAGTATTTTTTCATATTGCACGATTACGTGTAAAAGCTCACACAATTCCAAGTTGGAATTATAATTTTCAAATGTAATAAAATACATAAGAAGAAAAGATAGCAAGATTTTCATTTAATTCTTGACTTTTTAATCTTACGGTTTGTATTTGAAAAACGCATGTTCAAGGGGAAATAACCAAATTAATACTATTTTTAAGTTAAGTGTTGGCTTTTCAGTAATGCTTGAGGACCGAATATTTGATAATTTAAAACCTAATACAAAAGTTGAAGCATGAAACATTTGGGAACCAGTAGGTACACAAAATAACCACGAATATTAAGTCAAAATGAAGTGTTGTGTGTGCATCAGCTACATTTGAAAAGTGCAACCTTTAATCGATCTATAAAATGGTCAACAAAATCCAGAATTGC